TGAAGAAAAACAGAGTGGTCTGAGAATGAGACAGTATTTTTGCCTAAAATTCTACTGAGCTTAATTTTGGCTAAAATGTTGTCATTACCTTTTGCAAGGGAGAAGATAACAGGTGGACACAGGAAGTGTTTTGACTTTCCTGTCTGTACAGAATCTGGTATTATTTTTCTTGCTGAAGACATTAAAAAAGATCTCTGGCAGTTTTTCCATTTCCCTTGGCTTTCGTGTGTTAGAGAGTATTCACACTGGGAGACCGGAAGAGAAATTAAGGCAGGTGGCAAGCCTATTCATCACCTAGTCAGTGATGGAAAATATTGAATAATCAAGTGAAAGTGTCTTAAAATAACATGAATGCAGCAAATAATAAACTTCTTACTTTGGCAGAAATTTGTTAAAGAAATCTTGCAGTTTCCTTATCTAGTCCTTCAGTGTTCAGTAGAAAGCTGTATGTACATACATCGCCGTAATGCATTGCTTTGGGGTAAAGAAATCCTTTATCTGATGTGCATTCAATCTTATGGGGAAAAAAATTGTATTATTGTCTGTACTCTTTAGATAAGACTCTTAACTTGTTTTTCAAGAATGCAAAATTATTTTTATTTACAAGAGTGGAAGGAAATATTTCTTTAAGTTACAAAGTAACTTGTGATGTTTCTTGGTAGCTTCATCAACTTAAGAGTGCAAGCCAAAACAGCATTGGAAAAAAAATCTCTAGAGAGACATCAAATCCTGCACTGAAACTGTCGACTCAGCAGCTTCATCATCTGCATAAATAAAGGATATGAAGTCCATTTTATTATAGCCTTTCTTCCTCTTGCCAGTCTTCTGTTTCGCATGATCTAAAGGTCAGGTAGTAGGAATCCTGCATCTAACCTTGTTTTCTATGTCTCCTTTGCATTCACAAACTGAAAAATGGTGTCTGCTAATACAGTCTACAGTGTCTTAAAACCATTCTGTGGTTTAGCAAATGTTCCAAACAGATCTGCTGGAGTCTAATATTTTGCTGATACGTTTGATTATTATCATTTTTCACCACGTGCTACTAAATTCATATAATTAGGTGATTACCATTTCTTTATAAATGCCAGAAAAGGTTCTCATTCTTTTATCTGTCTACCTCAAACACAGCCATGCAGAAAACAGGAGCTATGTACCAATACTGTGTAGAAGTCAGTAAGTTGTTTATATAATTATTCCTAAAAAGTAAAATTGTCAATGAATTAGCATTTCATATGTGTGTAGGTAAGCCAGCAGCAGCCCCAGAAAATGTTGCTACGCTTCAGGCAGTTATCTTAAAAATTTGCTTTATACTGGCAATATTCTGCTATTGGGATTTAAGGTAAAATTATTCAATTTATAGACAACACAGCCTAGAAATTGCTGTTGTAAATACTACCTAAATCCCATATTAATTAGGTCCAGGCCTAATGACATCTTAAAACTTCAATTTGTTATTTAGGGTCTAGAAGACAAAATATTATAACTGGTTGGTAAATGTCGAGATAAGAAGTGAAGAACTTGAAAGTCTTGGAAAAAATGGAAAGGAGGTGTTTTTGAAGGATAGATATGAACTGATTTATCTAAAATAAAAAATAATTTTAAAATTCTTGTTTTTCCTTTATGAAGGGCAGGGATGGGAAATTGTATTGCCAAAATATTTGGAGTATGTCTTCCTACATTTTTAATCCTCTGCCCAAATTGTGAGTGGAAGTTGAGATTAAACTGTAAAAGCTTTAAAGATTACTTAAAAGAACTTTTGTTCTCTAGTCAATTCTCAAAATAGTAGAGTCTCGTTTTAACACCACTAGCAGTTTGCCAAACACATGCAGAAGTAATTTCCTGTTAGCGTATATCGATTGTACAGATACCATTTTTCAGCCAATACCATTTGCAAACGAATGTAATGGATTTTTAAAATTCTAACTTCTGAAGTCAAAAACATTTGTACAGTAGGAGCTATGTTTGGAAATTTGTATTCTGTGCGTGTGAGTTTTTGGGAACACAAGCTGATTTAGGCATGGTTGTACAAACCCTGCTTGATAACTGTGTTTGTGAGAAGTGCTGTACTGCCAAGATCAGCGATATACTAGAAATACTTTGCCAACCTTGCTCAAAAAAAGAGGATAAACTATTGTCAAACATGCCAGTTCCAATGTAAAAATGTTGCCGTAGCTATTGGCAGACTAGAAACTGATTTTGGTCAAATGTTCTTGATTGTTTTTAAATGCTAGTGTTGTGTCTGTGTTCTGAATAAGACTTGAACTCAAATGATTTGTTACATGTGAGATACCTCTTAGGAACCTTTTTGTAAGCTATCTGAGAGTCTTTCTCAGAAGATTCTGTGAGTTCTATCCAAAATATATTTTTGAGTTGTATGCCTTGCTTAATGAAGGACAGAGTTGATTGGAACAACCAGTATAGAAATAGTATAGGAGTTCTATACATGCATGAGAGAGAAGTTGTTAGTACCTGTAGTTCATTTGATGTCTTGTAGATTGGAGTGCTGTGCTTTGCAGCATAAGAAACTAGGTATGAAAGAACACTACAGATGATGAAGGAAAAAGTGAAGAGCATTCTTGTATTTGTGATTTTTGGATCCAGTTGTATTTCATGAAATTTCATGAAATTAGTGAGATGTGTTTAGAACAAGTTGCCATTTTCATCACGGCTTATGTTTTGTGACATAGCAGTATGTTTTTAACATATATTTATATGGATTTAATGCAGTGAGTTGTATTTTGTGGCCCAATTAATACTATTCTTAATCTTGAATATGGTCTCCTGGAAATAGAATACCTTGATTTTTGATTCTGCCAGTTATGTACCAAAGGGTGGTCTACGTGCCTCCTTTTGCCTGCAGAAAGCTTCATGAATTCATAAATCGTAGTTCCTTTCAGTTATGTTCATGTGACATATTGTACAACACCAGAAAAAAAATTGCTACACCTCAGTAGACCACCTCATTATCAACACTGCAGATTAATCTCTTGATATTCCAGCAAAGAAATTTTTTTTTGCTTTTATTTTTAACTAGAATTTTGCTCCTAAAAATTTTGAAAATACTCCACTATTTTAGCTTCAAAACCTCTCTTTTTAGAAAACTGCAGGACTGCTAGGCTTATCTTGGCAGTTTCAATTGCCAAGATGCAGTCTTTCCTTTTTCCTGTAAAGTGGCAGTGACATAGAAAAGTATACAAGCTGACAGGTAAGCACAGCTCTTTGGAGGTGGGAAAAATCCAGCAGACTTTATTTATTTTTGAAACTGGACTTCCAGGGATACAAAATGCAGTAATGGATTCCATGAATTGGATTTTAAAATGCAAAAAATAATATTGGTAGACTAGATACCTTTGTGCTTAGCTAAACAATTGTTAGAGGCATAGAATAAAACCAGTAAGGGCAAGTTAAATATTATTGTCTGATCCTTACTCGGACAGCTGGGTCGGATCCATCACAGCGTAGTTCATTTACCCTGTTGTGACTAAGATACTCTGTAGCAAAGTGTTCATGTCCTGGGTAGGTTAAACCTAGCCACTACTGATTTTGATTGCTCTTCAGTAAATATCATGAGGGATAACAAGGTGAATAACAAGCTCCTATTAATTTTGACTGTGCTAGCGATATCACCTTTATGAGAACTTTCTTAAACTAGAGTAGAAAGCACAAATCTGTAATCATTTTCTGTGTGTAGGTTGTGCTGTGCCATCATAGTCCTCTGTTGACTTTGTTAGTTCTACTGGATCTTTTTTTGGAAAGGGGGAATCAAAGCAATTGCATGTTTGAAAACTTTCTGTGGGGTGAGGTGCTGTGACTGTATTTGGAATAATTTGTGCCTCAAAGGTTCAAACTGCTTTGCTAAGGGAGACGAGGGGAGTGGGAGGCAGAGGCTGTGGAGGTCAGAATGTCATGGGAAAGTGGGATAGTTGCAGAAAACAAAGAAGACAGATCTGTGCATATATGAATAGATGAATGGAGGGGAAAAGCACAAATAGTGCATGCATATGATGGAGAGCTGTTCTAGGAGCCTTTGCAGTCACAATTGGTTTTGGAAGGAGTGAGTCATCTGTGCTGGTGCTGAGTGTTGCAAGCACAGCACACAGGCTTGTGTTCATCTCTGGTGAAAATGCAGAACTAGTGGTGGTAACTGTGTTCAAAGATACTGGGTTTTAGGCAGGAATTTCCTCTGTTGAATAGAGCCCAATGCAGTGGTTTCTGGTTATACCAGTCAACAACATTTTCTATATACCTTAACGTGGTGTGGTGTCATCACTAGTGGGGTGGCAGCTATTTCTCCACGCCGATGGCAGAATGGTTCTATCAGATAGTGTTACTGTGCTCTTTGTATCTGTTGTAATTTTCATAGAAATAAATGAGGCATTACTTTCAGAGCAACTTATGCAACGGGAGAACTTGTCATCTTTCTGAAGTTCTTACATCTATTTTTACTTTTTGTTCACTATTTGCTAAACTTAAACTTCTAACTATATGCTGATCTGTTGGTAGGAATGAATGTTAAGAAATTACCTAATGCATAGTGTACTTAAATCACAGTTATATTAAAGGTGATAAGAAACATGGCAGTACTTGCTTCTAGGACATCTGCATGTAGAATTTGTGTATTTTATCTAAAGTATTTGTCCTTCAAGAGATCCAATATTTCACTGCCATAGCTACAGAAAATTCCCTTGCTTTTATCATGCATTCTCTTCTTCCTGTGTTTTCTGAGACTGCATTGTGCATACATGGTAACATTTTAAGAAATATCTCCTGGAAACTTTCCAAAGTAATTCCAATTCAATCCTTATAAAACAAGTTCACAGAGATTAAAATCAATTTGTGCATTCAAGCAGTAATATTCTATATTGACCAAGAAAGATAATTGGCTTCTTCCCTAAATTTGAAAAATAGGTAAACATGTTGGATTATGTCCGCTGTGAAATGACACATGTACTGCAAGCTCGTAGTAACATGCTGTGTTTTTGTTTTGTTTTAATTTGCAGATATCCTGTTTTCCACTTGGTTTACAAAGAAAACTCAGTGTCAAGAGAACTGAAGACTGGGATGTGCTGGACTAGTAAATTTATCTGAAGCCAAGAATGCCCCTGGTTTGGCTCTGGAAAGAGTACTAAGCAGCCAAGGACATTTGGATGGTCAAATCCAACCCAGTACGGTGAGCTTCCTATAATGTTCTGCATATAGCAATAACTATGTATATAAATTTTATTCTGACTATCCTGTCCCTATATCTTGATTTATCAGACAATAGTCTGCTTTCTGCTAAGTGTCAGGGCAGAGGAAAATAATTTAATGTGTAACACAAAACTGTACGTTCTGCTTTTCTAGAAATGGATTTAATTTGTTGTCATTGGTCCCATGCTTTTTAGCCAGAACTGGCAGTTTGCCTCTAGTCTGCCCTGGTCAGGATGTGGGAAGAGCTAAATCCAACACTCGGGCTGTCCCAAAAAGTTGCACTGGCACTAATGTTATTTTGCAGCTGAAGTAGGGATGGTGAATAAAATGAAATAGTTTATGTGCTTCTGTAATAGAGCAGCAGACCTGAATTTCTTCAGAGGATTATTCTTTTATTTTTGGTCACATTTTCCAGTCTTCCTCTAAAACAGTTTTCACAGAAAAAATCTAGCTGAAGTACTCGTGTTAAAGCAGCTTCTGACTTCCAAAATTTCGTCTGATTATTTAAGGCTATATTCTTCAAGATACTATGTTTGCAATCTCTGTCACTGCATTTGGGAATTCATTAAATATTTACAGTGGAATAAAATGCTTTAGTCTGAATGCGAATAAGAGCTCTTAGATAGAAACATTCTTTAATTTAGTTCATGTTTCCTATTTTCATGAAGGTAAAAACATTCATGTACAAACAAGGACTTAGCTTACTACTTATCCCATCTAATTTAGTTTAAACTGTTTTTGTCCTGGTTGTTAGCTGATACATATGCCATTAGTAATCAATTTTTCTCTTCTTCCGTGTTATTCTCTCTCCTTACTTGCTGGAATGCCTGAATTAAAAACATATGAATGGAAAATGTTGAGGTTTTGATAACAAGTCTGTCTCTCATTTATTTTTCTTGTAAATGCCACAGCATTCTATTTATATTCAGCGTCCAAGAAAGGTTCAGATATGTTGAAAGCTTTCACTACTAACATTTTTTATAGAAAATCAGTTTTGATCAGTTTTTTTATATAAAGTTTTTACTTCCTTTCGAAAGTTGTCTTTTTCATTATACCTCTGAAAGAGAAAGCAAACTGCATCTTGTGGAGTTTGTCTTTGAGTCTAGGAAATGAACATTTCAATCTATTTTCAGTGATTACATGTGTAATCACCATACTGCTTTCTTGCGTGTGTTTTGGCATGAAATCCCAAAGGAATAATTGTCCACAAAAAAGAGTGTTTATAGAAGATGGAAAAACTACACTGATAACATCTGTAAAGAAACCATTCTTCACTTGGCTACAGCAAAAAAAAAAAAAAAAAAAAAAAAAAAGTACAGAAATTTTACATATTATGTACAGGGAAGACATTTCGTTGCTACCAAAAGAAGGTATGACTGAAGGAAAATTAATGCTCATACTGTAGTCTAGCCAAGGATTCCCCCTTCAATTTTCACTTTGTGCCGACCTATGTTGTGACCTGCCTAGGAATAAGGGCACAGCGATTAGGGAAATGGTTCACTGTAGGTCCAATGTTAGCACTTGAAAATGGGTTATGCAGGTAAGTAACCTCCAGCTCTTGTTACAGTTTCCAACAGTAAGGTTGGAAATTCAAGTTACTGCAAATGCTCTTCAAGCTAGAGCAATTGCTACTGCGAAACAGAGATGGGTAGAACCCCAGGTGTGAATGGCAGACTTTTAGGAGAGTTTGCAGTTTGTTTACTGAATACCACAGACTTGAAATGGAAAGGAAGTTATTTTTCAAAAGTTTCTTAATTTCTAATTCATTTGGAGAAACTTAATGCTTAGGGATTTTGAAAATTCTGTTACCAACATAAGCTTCTGAATCTTCACAAGTTTCTGCAAATTCTGCTATTGCAATGGAACGCAAGTGCAGAACTGATTTTTCTATACCTTTTTGGGAAGGCTTAACTGTGACTGGAACTCTAGGACGTGATGCATAATTAGAATTTTTATTATAGAATGAAGGGATTCTGAGCATGGATACTGGCTCATGAACATCATCAAAAACATGCTGCAGTCAGGACGATTCTGTTCCTGTCAAATCCATTCCTTGGAATTCATACTGAACTCCTCTGAAAACGTGGAGCCAGAAACATCTGTGGGTTTGCCAGGGAGTAACTGCATGAGTTTCCACTGGAAATTCCAGCAAGCGTCAGCACTTAATTACCATACTGTACCTTAAAGGCAGGAATTAGTTGATGTGCAACGTGCTTTCTACATGTCTTAATGAGTCATGCTATAACTGAAATCAGGAGTTGAACTCCTTTACTGATAAGCTGTGCTTGGCAGCAGCTGCAGGTACATAATACATAACTGATTTCCAATCATAAAGCATAAATATCTGTGCTTTCTCAAGAGAATAATTGCCTGTTAATGTAAACGCATTAATAAACATTAATGGTAGTGAAAAAACAATCTAATTTCCTTCTCTTGTTTGTAAGGCTATACTTATCTGAAGGTATATGCTACATAGAAGCTTAATTTGCTTCAGATTTCATAAATGATATTATTTTTTGAAAACAAAGAATATAAGAGTCTGTCTTGTTTAAAAATGCAATCTAGTTATTGAACTGTGATCTCCTAGGAATACCTAGGTCACCTTTCAGGATTTTGGCACTCTGCATGGCGCTGTGTAGTAAGGTCTAGAGTCCTCAGTAATATCATCTGTGGATTAGGTTTTGCTCACATTCAAGTGAGCTAGGCAAATAGTTTCTGCCATTTGACTTCTCACAGGCAGAGTTGACCTGCTTTCAATTAGCTCCCTCCCCTTGTCTGCCCACCCTAAGCCTTCTGGAGAGAAGTGGGGGAGGGAGTAGCTTTCAAATAGCGCAGTGACAAATTGATTCCAGGTCCTCCAGCCATGTTGTAAGCTACCTTTTCCGTGAAGTTAATGTAAAATAATCTGTATATTTTCTAGCTTTGCTGTTCGTTACTTTCGAAACAAAAACTTGTTGACAAGTTACTGTTTATGTAGAAGAAGGGAAGGAGAGAGGCTTTTTAACACTGGTGTGTGTGTGTGTGTGTTGTATACGCATGTGAAGTGCTAGAGAACTGTAGTAGTAAAAGCATGAAATTTCGTGAAAGGCAGTTGATACATGTAAATTCTTTGTATAATTATCATAGTAATTACCATGAAGTAATGTGCAATGAGTAGAAAACAGTTTTGTGGTAACTGTAGTCCACAGCGGTTGGATGAAAAGTCATAGTAAGAAATTGCTTTGATGTCAGTAAATTACTGTATTGTCAGAAATTCCTGAAGCGTCAGCAAGGGTGTTGCCTTCAAATAAAAAAATATATCCTTGAGTGTTCCAGGGTTGTTTTATCATGTTTTCCATTTTATATTCTTTTATCTCCTTTCATTATGTTTATGAGGTGCCAAGAGATAAATATAGTGTGGAACTGCGTTTTCCTAGAGAATGAACCTTACTTTGGTATATTTAAGATTTCTGTTTTGAAAAGGAGAGTTTTCAGTGCAGAACTGGTATTGTGAAAATCCTGTCACCAAGCTAAACTGCACAGGATATATAGCAGTCCTTTGTACAGAAGTCAAACGTATCAGTGTGTCTGGTTTTCTGTATTTGGGATTTTCTGACTTCATAGAATGGCTCCAGAGAAGCTGCTTCCTTAGGCTTCTGTGAAAATTCCTATTGTAAATTTAAAAAAAAAAAAAAAAAAAAGCAAACAGAACAGGAAAAAAAAAAAAAAAAGCAACAAAAATTGCAGAAAAGTCATAAGCATAAAATAGGTGTGATACTTGAATTTTTTCTTCCAAAACTGTGACTAGGTAAAGTAAGAAGTCCACCTTGTTTTATTTTCATACAGAAAGCACAGAAGAACTTACAAAAATGTCTATTAGTAACTTCAAAGGATTTAGAAAGAGCTTTTTCATTTAAGTGACCTCTGTGCATGACAGGTTAAACTGGTAGGCTTTGAAACTGATTCTTGGAGTTGGCCAAATCACCCTGCAGAGACTGCAGGACAGGGAAGGGCTGGGGGACAGCATGATGTGAAACAGCTGATGTCTATTCTGTGGTGAGTGCCTGGGCTACATTTCTGCTCTGAGAAGGCTCTCTGCTTGACTTCAATGGGGAAAGAAGGAAGACCTTTCTCCTTGCTTTTATCTTTGTGTTTTGTGCATGCAGGTGAAGATGTTTTTTTGCTAAATACTTCTGATACACGTTTTCAAGTGGTGTATAGTCAACTACATAATATTTTAAAATCTAGAACCACAAAGCATATAAATTATCTTACATAAAGGATAGGATACCATTTATGTAACTGAGTATAATTCAGTGCTGACTAACCATTTCAATTAGTGTTTGTCAAACTAATGAATTTCTCATACTATTTCTTATAACGGGTCCAAGCAAATGCAGTTTATGAATAGAGGGTGAGATGATTTTGTGCTTTTTAGCTCAATTTGAACTCCATCCTGTGAACAGCAAAGACAGAAGGTTTCAGTGGCAAAACTCAAAATGTGTTAATGTAGAAACAGACATTTTTGTGATTTGATGTATTTGTTTAAAGACCTAAGAAAAACCCTCAACCTTGGAGATGTTAAGTGGTGCAATATAGCCTTTTTCTTTCTTTTCTTGCAGTGCTGTGTTTAAGAATGAATATGTTCTGCTTTTGTTTGTGCTAAGGGGAAATTAAGAAGTGGCACACCTTTGTTCTGACTGTGCTTTTACTGTAATTGTAGCTTCGCAACAAAACAGCAGAGTAAATAATGTCTGCCAAGGAGTTGGCTTAGATGGTGTTTTCTGCACTACTCCGCTGCCCTCTGAACAACTCTACTTAGACTTATCTGTTTGCTGATGATTGTAAAAGAACAACTTCTGCACTTGCTTTATCACTATATAGCTCTTCTGGAGGTTGTAATGCTAAATTTTTCGTAGGCCTAATGTAGCAAATCTGAAATCAGAAGCATCATTTTTTTATACTGATCTTCTTAATGTGCTATGAATGAAGAAAACTGGT